TTTTTTTTTTTACAGGCGGCATCACTCGGGTGCTGCGATCTGCCAGAGCCTCGCTGAACCCCCGGGACGATGCTCTCTGTACCCTGTACAGTTTTGTTCCGCCATTGTAGGAAAGCTTCTCTTTCCAAATAAATTTTCTGTACCAAAGTGCGTTTTCTGTTGTCCTTTATCACATTCAAAAAAAAAAAAAAAAAAGGGAAGTTTGGGTGGGATACCGAGGAAATTCTTGCCCCAGAGGGCGCTGGGCACTGCCCAGGCTCCCCAGGGAATGGGCACGAGAGCTCCCTCTGGGATATTTTGGGATTCTGGGATGTCTCTCCATGGCCAGGGATTGGATTTAGATGATTCTTGTGGGTCTCTTCCAGCTCAGGATATTTTATAATTCCATGATAATAAATTCCCTCATTCCATGACAATACCTTCCCCGTAATTCCACTTTTTATTGAACCTACCCCACTCTTTATCCTCATTTATAGATACCCCGTATTTCTTCTTGGAGTTCAAGCGCCACAAAACCCCAGGAACATTTTTTTTTTAATGTATTAAACATGCTCTGAATATTTGACACTCCCCAGGAGCCGCCTGAACCCCAAACTCTGGCGGCCCTGCGAGGGCTCAGGTGAGGCTCAGCCCTCGGAATTCCCAAATCCAGCTGAGGGCAGAGCGAATTTCCATCCCTTTTTCCTGAGCCCAGAGTGGATGTGCGGGTGGAAGAATTCACTCACAGATCTCACCTGCCCCAGGTGCTCCTGACTCGCGGCTCCAAAATCTTTTCCGGCAGAAATTCAGAGCTGCCACGAGGGGTTGTAGCGAAAAAATTCCCATCTCAGGAGGGTCAAAGAGCGGCACTGGCATCGGGGAGACCCCCAGGATGGATTTGGGGGATCCTGGGCTGAGCCCCCAGCGTGGGCAGCAGGGGAGGGGGGATTCTGCCCTGCTCAGGTGAGACCTCACCTGCAGAGCTGCCCCAGCCCGGGGAGAGAGCCCAGGGGAGGCTCCAGGATGGGATCCGAGGGATGGAGGAAAGGCTGGGAGGAAAGGCTGGGACAGCCGGGATTGTTCAGCCTCCAGAAGCTTTGGGGTGACCTCGCAGGAGCTGAAGGGGCCCCGAGGAACACGGGGAGAGACAATTCCCAAGGGAGGGAGGGCCAGGACAAGGGGGAATGGGTTCAGACCGACAGGGAGGGGGTTCAGAGGGGATTTTGGGGATAAATTCCTCCCTGGGAGTGCATGGAGGCCTGGCAGGGGTTATTCCATGCATTCCCCATCCCTGGAAGACCCCAAGGCCAGGCTGGACAGGGCTGGGAGCAGCCTGGGACAGTGGAAGGTGTCCCGTGGCATGAGGGGGGAACTGGATGAGTTTTTAGGTCCCTTCCAACCCAAGCCGTGCTGCGATTCCGTGAGCGGACATTTCACACCAGCGCTCGCTTGGAGACTCATTCTCGGCCGGGATGAAGAAACCCAGAACAGAACAAATCGCTCATGCAATGCAGATTCTTTATTGCGGATGAAAAAGGTCACAGGCAGCGCCAGCGAGAGACGAAGCAGCGCAGCCACAACGAGCTGGAAACCCAAAAAATGCGGAGGCAGCAGCGAGGCGCCGGCCAGGGCGGCAGCGCAGAGATCGGCCCGTGCCAGGGCGGGCTGGGGGCTCGGAGCTGGGCACAGCGGGGCAGAGCCGGGGCCCAGGGGCAGCACAGAGGGGGCAGCTCCGGGAGGCAGCGCTGGGGAGCCCCGAGGCGGCGGGCGAGGCTCGGCACGGTCACCCTGGCAGGTGGCAGCGAGCCCGCAGCTCCCGGGGCCGCGGGGCCAGCGCTGGCCGGCGGCTGCAGCTTCATCGTGCCCCGGGCGGCACAACCCGGCACGGGCTGCCCCTGGAGCCGCGGGCAGAGGCAGCGCCGAGCCCCAGCGGGCTTTGGGCTTTAGCAGGGCCCGCAGGAGCCCCCGAAGGACCTGGAGCTGCGGCCACAGCCCCCAAAGCCCCCGTAGCCCCCAAAGCCCCCGAAGGCACCGTAGCCACCGTAGCCCCCAGAGCCGCCGAAGCCACCACGGCCTCCAAAGGAGCCACCGGAGCCGCCTCCCACGTAGGGAGCTCCTGCCGAGCCCACGGCGCTCTGCTGCGGGAAGGAGCTGAGGATGGGCCCGGGGAAGGTGACCACCGAGGCCGGCGGCTGGATCACCACCGTGGAGTCCGGGCACTGCCGCACGCAGGGCTCGTTGCAGGAGTCAGCCAGAGGGGCCGGGGTGGCCACTCCGCAGCTGGGGACGCACAGGCTGGAGCAGGACATCGTTTGGATCGGCACGAGAAGCTGCAAGACAAGGCAGAGCCACGGGCTCATCCCAAATCCCAAATCCTCTCTCCCTCCTGCAGCCCCTGTCCCATCTGGATCATCTCAGGCGCTCCCAGTAAAACCCCTGGCACAGCTGGAGCGGCTCCTGGAATCCCCCGCTGCCCTCGCCATCCCCGGCTCTTGCCCGCCCGTGGGATTGAAGGAAATCTCCCACGTCCCCATCACCAGGCTCGCAGAGGACCGGAGCCCACGGGGATCACCCCAACCATCCTCACTGTGCCCTGGGACAGCTGCTGGAGCAAAGATCCCTCGGGAAATCCAGAGATTCCCTGGGAAAGGCGCAGGGGGAAGGAAGAGAGGATGGAGGGAAGAGTCGGACTCACCACAAGGCTGAAGGAGTAGAGTAGAGAGGAGGGAGCTGGATGGAGCCCTGTGCAGAGCTCGGCCCTTTTATACAGCCCGGAGTGCCCGGGGCACCGGCCAGGGGTGGTGACGGAGCCCCAGCTGACCATGGAATCAAGCGGACAAACCTCATGACACAACCGTGGGGTGATTAAATCCATCCTAATTGGGGCTAGGGGCTAGGAAAGATGCCCTGGAGAGCCACCACGCTCTGGGAGGGTCAGCCCGTGAGCAATCGCTGCGTGAATGATCATTTGTTGTACTCAGAGCCCCAATAAACCCCGACGTGTCCCTAATCCCCCGCTTTGCTTATGCACGAGAGTTTTGGGCATCACTCAGGAGCGCTTTGAAATAAATGCTGCGCACAGCCAGCACATTTGTCATTAATCCCTTTTTACGGGCTGCTAAATAGGGACGCCGGGAGGAAGAAGCCATCCCACCCACTCCGGGCACATCCCAAACGCCAAACGTGGCAGGGGAGGTCACGGGAGTGAAGAGTCACAGAGAGGGTCGGGATGGAAGGGACCGAGGGGGGACATCAGGACCGAGTCATGAGCAGAGGGTCAGGGTCAGGAACACCAACAGAGGGGACAGGGACATCAGCAGAGGAACGGGAACATCAGCAGAGGGTCAGGGTCATCAAAACGGAGTCAGGAACATCAGCACAGGAACAGGGACATCAGCCCCGGGTCAGGAGCACAGTCAGGGTTATCAGCCCTGGGTCATCTGGAGAGGGTCAGGGACATCAGCACAAAATCAGGGACATGAGCACAGGGACAGGGACATCAGCAGAGGGACAGGGACATCAGCCTGGGGTCATCAAGCCCGGGTGATCATCAGAGGGACAGGGACATCAGCAGGGCAGCAGAGACATCAGCCCTGGGACACCAGCACAGGGTCAGGGACATCAGTCCCTGTGTCCTGCCCGGGCGGGCTCACCACGCACGGCGCGGGGCTGGGCACAAAGGGACAGTCCCCGAGGGATTTTTGTACCGCGGGAGGATTTGTAAAGTCCCCGATTGACCCAAAAAGGAGAGGAGATGGATCTCAATCAGAAGAAATTTCAATCTGGCACAGGTGTGAGGGGGACACGGGAGGGACCAGGAATTGGATAAACGAGGACAGAGAGGAGCAGGAGGGCAGAGAATGGAGAAAATCCTCAGCTCCTGCAGCCCCGGGGCTGCGAGCTGGGCCCTGGGCGAGCCCTCCTGCAGGGCCTGCATTGC